CTAAGCCGTTCAGAAAGAAAATATCCATTTTAAATGCTATACAGCGTAAAGGCCACAACTTAATGAATGCAGTCCAGAGCCGTGCGATTCCTGCCAAATATTTGCTTCTTTTTTCGTGCAAAAATCTCTGCACTGGCATGCAGCAACATAGTGTCCTTAGGTTCTTAACCATAACATCCTATTGGACGATTCGGCCTCAGCTCTCCATTTAAACCCTTGCATCCAGTGCACCCTCGACACCAGTCTTTACCTAACACTGGTTTAAAAGCTCAGTCCGTTAGGCAAACGTCAGGGAGTTAACATTCGAGGTTACATTTGACAATTTAAAGCGCGCACAATTACCCGCCGATTTGCATTACAGAGCACATCCGCTTCTTAACCAAAATGTTTGTTTGCAGGAGAGATAACGGTTTGAAATTCAAGTGAAGATTACATCAATGTTTCGATGGTTTTATAATATTCCCAGATGCATCAAGACCCGGCGCAACAGCGAACTTTTAAACATGCGACATCTGCTCGGCAAATGTAACAAGTACAATTACGGGGTAACTGAGAAAGCACTCCACGTTCATGTCTGCGCTCTATTACACACCATCACAAAGATTTCAATCCCGTGTGACTTTCCATTAATTTATAGCCAAATGTATGCCACACACGTGCATAAAAGGCTAATTTTCGAAAATGACAAGAACACATCTTAGGCCTGCTTGTGATCAAATAAAACAGCTGCAGGACAATACAAGGCAGCAATTCTAAAGAGGCAACTCAATAAACATCTGTTATTTGCATGTAGGTTTATAAACAGGATACTGACATTAGTGAAATTTTTGTTCGTGAAGAAAAATATAAAAAAGTCACATTCACTGTACTGTAATCGGCTGTGACAAAGACATGGCCTAGTGGTAGCGCATCCACCACTTGTTGCAGATTCACGGTTCGTATTCAGCAGCCGCCCTGGCTATTACCGCGGGTGTATTATTCACGAAATAGATATCCAGTCTGATTCGGGGTGGACATTAAAGTTCCCCTGACTTTATTCCTAATAGCAGACCACTGTGTAGTCCATTTTTAAATGCCCCAGAAACTACTCCATTTTAATATAAATAGCAATCGCCGATAAATATCAAAACCTGGCAGGACCCTCCTGAAAATGAGTCGTGAGACTCAGCAAGGCATTCCTGAGTAAAGAAGCATAATAATAAATAATGTTTAATGTGCCAGAGCTCACTATGAAAGTACTTTTCAGAATAACAAAGCTTAATCTCTTGGTAGTCTATAACACACAGCCTGGATACAAATATAATCGGAATGTGCTGCTCATTCCGAAATTGATCCCACGAATCGAGCATTGACATGAAATGTCGTATCCAATTTGTTTAGGATTAATCCGAAGACATGACGTCCCAAGTAGTGACGTCGCTGCCATAGTGTTACTTTTTACTGACATAAGTGATCTTAAATCCGAGAGCTTCAAAAATATCCTTAACAATTCGAATAAAACCGAAATGTTTACATTCGTTCACCTATTTACTAAACTAGCCTTTTGCCCGGCCAAGGACGGGTGTATTTAAGTAAGTCTGAAACTTGTGTGTGCAATTTGTAAGGGTGCGGTGACAGACCTATTTCATTTTAAGGTTCTAATCCCTTGTTCATCATGACGTCCTTTTTACTTCTATGTCTCAACAGCGTTACGGAGATCGCGTGACGTGAGGGTTCTGCCTTTGTAGTGAGGGTTGTCAGTGGACGCCGAGGAGGGGGGAGGAGGCGTCTCGGCCCCCCATGTGGAGTGACGTCAGCCGCTAATCATTATGAATGTAGTGGCGTGTCCATCTTGAGGACGTAACCTGCTCATGATTATTAATGAGCGAGGCTGGTCGACGTTGAGTGACGTCACGAGCGTTGCACACAGACATTTTTGTCTCATTATAGTAGGTAATAATAATGGAGGGGGGAGGGGGTGCATTTGGAGGACGTCACCTGCTCATGATTATTAATGAGGGGGGTTGTTTGATGTTGAGTGACATCACCTGCTCATGATTATTAATGAGGGGGGTTGTTTGATGTGGAGTGACGTCACCTGCTCATGATTATTAATGAGGGGTGGTGGGGGTGTCCATTTGGAGGACGTCACCTGCTAATGAATATTAATTAGGGGGGGGGGGCTGGTCTACATGGAGTGACGTCTCGAACGTTAAGGACTACGTTCCTTGGTGATTATAGTAGGTATACGTATATGTTTAGGTTGCGCAATGCTTTTATAATCGGGGATGCCTCTCGGTAGACGAGATGGGAGCCAGGGATGGGGGAAACCCTCTTCTAAAAATAATCAATCCCCTCTCCTTTATCCAGGAACGTCTCCAGGCAATTTCACGAGGGTCCCCGACATAGTGGGGATGTTTGGTTAACTCCATTACGGAGTGTTTGGTGATGCGCGGTTAAAACCAGAGCGGTTGGATAAACGCACACATACGAAGCATGCCTCAATTCAAGACTCGTTACGGATACATTCAACATCGATTGCTGTCAGTTTAACACACAGGCTTTCGCGACCAATATCATCCATAATACAGGGGTTTTTTGGGGGGTTTGAGCGCGTTATGTAAACCCGTCACCACTTGACACAGCCGATTAGTAAAGTTTGTCACGTGAACAGAACATCCCAATTCATTACGAGTACAGCACACCGGTGTGTTGGAGAGCAAAGCCACAACATTTACAATCCGAGTACGACATTACTGGCTAACGTCGTACTCAGCTTGTAAATGAAATGGCTTTGATCTCCAGCACACCGCGGAGTGCTGTACTAGTAACGATTGCTGTGTTACTGCCATTTTCCGGCCACACTTCCCCCACCCTCCCCTAGTTGTTACCCCTTGACCCGTGGAATATCCCCGAGTGTCACATCTCCATACAAGGGCTAACAAAGCCATCACCCCCCAGCAGTGCAGTGGCTGCTACGGCGTGCCCATGCCAAGTAACTGCAGCAGAACGCAGCACACACACACACGCAGGGTTCTATTTACAGCAGGCAAACCATCAGCAGATTAGCATCTCCGCTGGGCGCTATATCAGCAGGCGTGCGCGCCTGTGTATTGCACATTATACAGACACACAAGTTACTCATCGCTTGCTCTCCGGCGTGGCCCATTGAACCGCTGATGTTGTTCACTTAAAAAGTGTACCCCCCGCCGTTACGTTGTTTATTTGTTCAGCTAGCGTCCGAACCTCGGCCGAGCTTTTACTTAATTACAAACTAAAACACAATAACTCGTTTGCGTGTGCAGTAGAGTGCATAGATGTTGTTCACCACATGCGCTCTATAGGTGAACACATTTTCGCATTCCGAACTGCCTTGACTTGGCGTCCGTTCAATAATTTAGGGAAAGGCGTTTCTGTCCATTTTGTCAGGAGGAGGAGGAAGAAGGCGGCTTGGGGGGTGGTGTGAGAGGGTGACGCAGAGAGTTCGCGAATTCCTCAGTCCCAAAATCCACGACAGTCTTTTTAACATAATCAACGTTTTTAGGTTAGATCGCGTTATTTATAAATGTGTCGTAACCCTCCACCACCCGACACGGCCAATCAGCAAAAAAGTGTCACGTTGATACTTTATTTTTTTATTCTGGCGAATTGCCCGATGATGCTGGATGCAATTACCAGCGAAACGTCGTACTACTCAAAATTTTTTAAATGTTGTGGTTTCACTCTTCAACACACCGGTGGGCTAAAGTAGTGAACTATTTGTCTTTTTTATTTAAAGCTTTCGTGACTGCAGGGATTCATATTCTTGGTTCTTTCGGTAATGTCACGTAGAAGGGAAATAATAAAATAATATAAATATTGTTTTATATTTATTATTATTTCATTATTTCCCTTCTACGTGACTTTACCGAAAGAACCAAGAATATTTGTATTTTGTCAACGTGACACTTTTTTGCTGATTGGCCGTGTCGGTTGGTGGAGGGTTACGACACATTTATAAATAACGCGATCTAACCTCAAAAACGTTGATCACAAATCAATAATATTATTCGCGAAATCCTGCTACGTGTTAAACAGTCTTTTAAACATTTAAAATTAAGGGCAGAGAAAGCGCAACGTTGATCACCTAACGAGTTGCACTTTGCAATGTCCACGTACCCCAAACTCGACCACCTGGTACCACAACCACCCTCAGTAGTTTCGTTTATCGAAACCGCACTGCGCTTGGCATTAGCTTCCACATTAATTTACCAAATCGTTAACATCACGAAGCCATTTACGATACACATTTACATACTTTAAAGACACTGTGCGAAGATAAAACAATTTAAAGAAGCACTGCGCCTTGTAATGGCCTCTAGTTCGTTCCAGACGTTCTCCCTCACCGCTCTCCGCCCTTCCCACCCCACACCAGCAGACAACATCGATTATCTCGTAACCACGTTCACAAAATAAACCCACGTTACCTAACATACAAGACACTAACCTCCTTGAGGTGAAAACTAGTTGAAATATTGTGTTAATATCATGTTGTTGTTGAGTTCAAGTATAAATGATTAAGTGCGACAACGCCTGTTTTTAGTTTCACTAACAACCACTTTTAATGGACACACGCAGTCGAAGGGCTCCATTGACGATTTCGTCTAATCGTTTTAACTATTTTAATTCGCTTAATGTCAAAACGATAACCTCTCTTTATAAAGTGCACAGAAGCGATTTCTATTAAAGCACACAACCACCACCGCAACCACCACCAACACCAACACCACCACTTCCATCGTCACACAGTCGTAGCAATAAGACCAGCAAGTTACTCGTCACAATCACAATTCAACCGCCGGTAAATGAAACAAAAATACACTAAAACTGTTGAACCCTTGGCAACAAAACTCTTGACCAACCATCCTGGAGCGAGGACGTCCATCAGTGGCAGTGTTGGAGGAGATCGACAGCAAATGTACGTACTCGTACAGTAAGCAACTCACAAACCTCACCAACCTCACCAACAAACCCCCTCTCACCTTGGACGCCTGGTGCACTTCGAAAGCCTTGATGGCCGTGTCTGTGAGCTTGACGTGGAGAAGGGTGAGGCGCTCAGGGTCCGAGCCGAGCCGTCCGCACGACAACGCAAACTCGCGGCCTTCGCCCAGCACCGCCATCTTCCACTGCTGCCCACCACGGGGCCGGAGGGGGGGGGGGGTACCCGCCGCGTGACGTCACGCGCATGTTGCTAAGCGACGCGAGGGGGGAGGAGCTCGGGAAGCGGAAGACGTCAATCACGGAGGTGTTGACCAATCGGAGAAGACGAAAGGTGGCGGGGGGCGGGGCGAAAGGTGGCAGGGGGCGGGGCGAAAGGTGGCGGGGGGGCGGGGCGAAAGGGGGGGGGGGCGGGGCGAAAGGGGGGGGCGGGGCGAAAGGGGGGGGTGGGGGGGGCGACTCAGTTATTTATTGAGAGTGGAGGAATCCGATGAGCTGTGAAGCTCTTTGTCAAAGATGTCACAGCAAATCTTCTCCCCGAGTCGTGCAAATCGAAAAAAAAAACGGAAAACTTGAGATGACTACTTAAATGCCGTTTTTAAATCTCGGGTTTTGACTATTCAAATGCCAGTGGGGTTTTTTTTATTGATCGGGGGAAAAAAACTTAATCAGTTACATTATTATTAGCGCACGTGTTGTACAGTGCACACTTCAACTCGTATCCACTCTCTCACTCTCTGGTCCGCCCTATTTATATGCCGTGAATAAGGGCAATGGCCCGAAACGTCGCCTGCCATATAACTTTCCTTTTAAGGCCACACGCACGGGGAGGGATGTTGTCGAACGTGCTGGCTATCTTGTTGTTGTTGACGAACTTGCTGGCTATCTTGTTGTTGTTGACGAACTTGCTTGCTATCTTGTTGTTGTTGACGAACGTGCTGGCTATCTTGTTGTTGTTGACGAACTTGCTGGCTATCTTGTTGTTGTTGACGAACTTGCTTGCTATCTTGTTGTTGTTGACGAACGTGCTGGCTATCTTGTTGTTGTTGACGAACTTGCTGGCTATCTTGTTGTTGTTGACGAACTTGCTTGCTATCTTGTTGTTGTTGACGAACGTGCTGGCTATCTTGTTGTTGTTGACGAACGTGCTGGCTATCTTGTTGTTGTTGACGAACTTGCTTGCTATCTTGTTGTTGTTGACGAACTTGCTTGCTATCTTGTTGTTGTTGACGGTGCTGGCTATCTTGTTGTTGTTGACGAACGTGCTGGCTATCTTGTTGTTGACGAACGTGCTGGCTATCTTGTTGTTGACGAACGTGCTGGCTATCTTGTTGTTGTTGACGAAGGTGCTGGCTATCTTGTTGTTGACGAACGTGCTGGCTATCTTGTTGTTGTTGACGAACGTGCTGGCTATCTTGTTGTTGACGAACGTGCTGGCTATCTTGTTGTTGTTGACGAAGGTGCTGGCTATCTTGTTGTTGACGAACGTGCTGGCTATCTTGTTGTTGTTGACGAACGTGCTGGCTATCTTGTTGTTGACGAACGTGCTGGCTATCTTGTTGTTGACGAACGTGCTGGCTATCTTGTTGTTGTTGACGAAGGTGCTGGCTATCTTGTTGTTGACGAACGTGCTGGCTATCTTGTTGTTGTTGACGAAGGTGCTGGCTATCTTGTTGTTGACGAACGTGCTGGCTATCTTGTTGTTGTTGACGAAGGTGCTGGCTATCTTGTTGTTGTTGACGAACGTGCTGGCTATCTTGTTGTTGTTGACGAACGTGCTGGCTATCTTGTTGTTGACGAACGTGCTGGCTATCTTGTTGTTGTTGACGAAGGTGCTGGCTATCTTGTTGTTGACGAACGTGCTGGCTATCTTGTTGTTGTTGACGAACGTGCTGGCTATCTTGTTGTTGACGAACGTGCTGGCTATCTTGTTGTTGACGAAGGTGCTGGCTAACTTGTTGTTGTTGACGAAGGTGCTGGCTATCTTGTTGTTGTTGACGAACTTGCTTGCTATCTTATTGTTGTTGACGAACGTGCTGGCCATCTTGTTGTTGTTGCCGAACGTGCTGGCCATCTTGTTGTTGTTGTTGACGGTGCTTGTGCACCACTGCCAAGGCAAGTCACCAGCGAATCAGCGCGCCAGGCGCGGTGACCAATCAGAGAGGCAGTGGGTGGAGCCTGCCGCGTCAGGGGGGGGGGGCGGCGGGGGGGGGGGGAGAGAAAGCCGTGACGTCACCCATAACTGGGTCGACCAATCAGAATCCTTATATTAGTACACAGTAGTAGTATACTAATATACATATTAAATCTGTATATTCTTTGAGGTCTTTCGGTTAAAGTCACGTTGATCGGTTCAAAGAAAATAACTAAAAACTAAGTTTCGATCGCAACACAACGACAGCTTGTGTTGCGATCGAAACGTCGTAGTTTTTTTTGTTTATTTTCTTTGAACCTATCTCGGTGACTTAATCGATTTAAAGCTTTCGTGACTGCATGGATTCATATTCTTGGTTCTTTGCGACTTTTTTTTCCGACAGCTCTGAGGACGGCTGCTTGTGTTGTGGCCGAAACGTCGTGAGAATTTTATTATTTTATTATTTCCCTTCTACGTGACTTTACCGAAAGAACCAAAGAATATTTACTGAAAGACCCAAAAAATACGAATTCTTACAGAATCTGTATTTAGACTGCGGGAGGAATCCGAAGAGCTGCCAAGCTCTTTACTCACAGACGTCACTCACTGGGACTTTATTGTTGTTATTGTTGGTGCAGTGCAATGTCAACAATTTCACACTCAGCTTGATGAAGCCACAGACAGGGAGGGCATGGACTTGGTAGTGGTTGTGTCAGCGCCATATGTGCTGTGGATCGGGGCACTGTTGTTGTTGTTGTGACAGCGGTCACACAACAACAAGAGACACGTTTTCCCTTTTGTGCTTCAGGTATCCATGTGGCTCGGTGAAGGGAGACCGTGACCACGTGTTGGGCACCCACGGTGGATCTGGCTTTTGCTACTCACACCACCACCATCTGTGACCCCCCCTGCCACTTTGCACTGCCCGCCACATGCGTAAACATGCCACCGTCATAGTGGTTATCTGCAATTAGCACACTCTGGTAGCACTTCAAATGGATGAATCACTAAGAGCCGAATGGATATTTTCGTAGAGTTACACACTGCTTGGATGTGCTTCTTTGAAAGTGTTAAGTGTATTTTTTTTTATTATGAAAGGACATCTCTTGACAGTTGCTTTCGTATTGGCCGTACAAAACTCATCATTTCCACTCAGATCATCATCTAGGATATCAAAACTCTGCCATTGCGTATGTCGCAATTTGTATCCGACAGAAGTAAGTGTTGACATCAACACCATCATCATTCACATCACCATTAACATCATCATTAGCATAATCAACATCATTCACATCATTAACATTACCATCATTAACATTACCATCATTAACATCACCACCATCATTAACATCATCATTCATATCACCATTAACACCATTATCAACATCACCATCATCACCAACATTCACATCACCATTATCCTGATCATTACCATCATTAATATCACCATAATTCACATCATCATTAACATAATTTCACATCATTAACATAATCACCATCATGAACATCATCGCCATCATTGACATCATCATGAACATCATCACCATCATTCACATCACCATTATCATGATCATCACCATCATTAATATCACCATAATTCACATCATCATTAACATAATTTCACATCACCATCATGAACATCATCATCATGACCATCATCACCATCATTCACATCATCACCATTATCATGAACATCATCACCATCATTAACATCATTACCATCAATAACATCCTTACCATCATTAACATCATCACCATCATTAACACCACCATCATTTACATCATCATGAACATCATCACCATCATTAACATCATTTTTCGATTTAAAGCGTTCGTGACTGCAGGGATTCATATTCTTAGTTATTTCGGTAAAGTCACGTAGAAGGGAAATAATAAAATAATACAAATAAAACCATTTGTTTAAAATCATAAAAATAAAACAATTTAATAAAAATACAACAATACAATTTATTATTTCCCATTTACGTGACTTTACCGAAAGAACCAAGAATATCATTATCATCATTAACATCATCACCATCATTCACATCACCATTATCATAAACATCATCATCATGACCATCATCACCACCATCCTCCTGGGGGGAATTGCAAGTGACGTCACTCGCGGACCAATCAGCGCGCGCGCGCGCGACTGCACGCGGCCCTCATTTAAATTCGTTGACGTCACTCGCCAACCAATCACAGCGCGCGCGACTGCACGCGGCCCTCCTCATTTAAATTCGGGTGACGTCACTCGCCGACCAATCAGCGCGCGCGCGACTGCACGCGGCCCTCATTTAAATTCGGGTGACGTCATTGCCGGAGCTCGAGGCAAGAATACAAAAAAAAATTTCCAAATGCGAAACAATTGTTTGTTTTCCGAGAAACTATTCTTGGTGTTATGAACGGACGTAAAAAACAATAAACCACCACATTCCCAACAAGTTCGTCAACAACGCTGCGTGGAAATGGCTCGAACTCCTACGTGGCACATAGTCCACTTTAACGTCCAAATCCACTTTAAATTAATCGCCTCGCGTTTAAATAACTCCCAGTGACGTCACTGCTTCGTCTGTGACGACACACGTGGGAGCGTCAGCAAGTGTCGTCACGCTTCACTCCGACGACGTCACGAGAACGCACTTTGAGCGTTACACTCACCTTACGAAACTTTAGCCTCAGCGGTTTATTTATATGGCCAACAAGGAGTTAATTACATTATGGGCCGTCCATAAATGACGTCACGCGATTTTGAACGATTTTTGACCCCCCCCCCCCGCCGCCTTCGTCACACGGCGTCACAAAAAGTCAGACCCCCCCCCTATGACGTCACAAAGCTCTGCCCCCCCCCCCCATATAAAACATTGCTTCAAATCGCTTTAAACTATTGTCATTGTAGTGCGTATTCAATGTGGCGCTGCACTCTGATGTTGTAGGAGAAAACATTTATTTAATTAAGTAGAACGTGTTGTCTATATCTATTTAAAGTTGCGCATTTTGATGTGACGTCACATTTCTCACCCCCCCCCCCCCCCCATCGTCACACATCATCACAAATGTC